GCAAGGGTGACGGTAGCAAGGGGCACCGAGGGTGAGACTGGCATACGGGGGAAGGAGCGGGGCGACGCTAAAGGCCGACGACCAATTCTGAGACCTATAGGGGAAGGAACACAAAAGCGGAGGCAATGTCACCCGATCCGCCCATCACCGCAGTGCCCCCCCCATGCTGACGACCCCTCATCTGCGAATGCAACCATCGCGGCAAATGTCGCTCGGGTGCGAGACACAACGGGCTCTGATAAACAACAAAACTGGGCGCGCGCTCCCACCCACCCCCCTCGAACGGGCCATGCATCGCAGCGCGGTGTCCGCCACCGTGCCTCGAGGCACGGAGTGGAGTGTCCCCACTCAAGCCCCCAAGGGTTCTCTACCCTGGACCACGCATTCTAATAGTCTAAGGGATGGGGCCCCAACTTCTCAAATTGCTCAGGCGCTCTCGCGCGCTCGTGGGCGCGCTCGGGCGCTCGTGGGGGCCCATGGGCGCCCTCGCGTGGATGTCCCAAGAGGCCAGAAGGCAAGGCGTGCCAAGCGGGCCCCAAGAAGCGCCCGAGGGGGCCCAAGAGGCCTCCAAGACGGCCCAATAACGCCCCAATGCGCCCAACATTGCCACAACACCGCCCACGAAGCTTCCAGGAGGCGTCGAGAGCGCCCCAAAAGGCCTCCCAAGAGGGCCTCAAGAAGCCAAAGCCATTGATGTTCAACATTGTGCTTGTCGATGCTGTGGGGGTTCTCGCCTGTTCGAGCCCCCGAAGCTCCAAGAAGGACCACGAGGCCCCAGAGACCGCCCCAATGCGGCCCAAGAGGCGCCCAAGAGGGCCCCAAGGCCGCCCAGGAGGGCCCCGCAATTGCCCAAGAGGCGCTCAAGACGGCCTGAGAGAGCACGACGGCCCGAAGAGGGGCCACGGAGGGGGAACATCACCGACAATTCGAGATTTCTGCTCCACGAAGCCCCCCAGGAAGCCCCAAAGGGGCCCCCAGGACAACCCAGGAGGCCCCCAAGAGGCCCCGCGAGGACCCCGAGAGGCAGAACAATAAACCCCAAGAGGCACCCAAACGGCCCCCCAGGGGCTTCCAAACTGCCTCCAAGACGCCCCCGAGGGGCACCCCACGATACCCCAACGAACATCCAAGAGGCCTCTTACATACAACCCAAGCACGGTGGCGGGATGGGCCGAAGGCCAATACGTTGTACAGCTGGCCATTCGTGAGCCTGGCGCTGCAGAGGAAGCCGGCGCCAAGGCAACGCCTAGGCCGACTGCGCATCTCGGCAGTTGGGATAGCAAGCCAATGGCAACGTGCCCTACACGCACAACATTCCTGGGCGGGCTGCTGAGGCCGCACCTGGCCAGGGCCGCAAGGCCGCGCCTGGAACCACACATTGCCGTCGCAAGATGGGCGGGTCGGCCGCTGCCGAGCTTCGCGGCACGAGCGGCCGCCGAAATGCCCAGCCGCCCGATCTGCGCGGGAGGGGGCAGAGGCCATCGCAAAACCACGCTGGAAGGGAGACGCAACTGTAGAGACGCAGGGGCGGGCGAGCGATGGGGTTCGGGGCATGGCCAGGAGGCAAGAAGAGTAAGACTGGGAGTGGCCGCGCGAGACTGCCCGCCATCACGGGGCTGGCCCCCCCCGCCTCCTACCCGATCACGAGGCTCACCTGCTGGGCTCCGGCCCCCAGCCCGTGCTGCCATCATCGAGGTACATCGCGCGGGCCCGCTCGGACTGGCGGGGCGTCCAGAACGCCATTGGGAGTGGAATGCTCCGTCGAACCTGGCGAGCTGGAGGCGCCAGGTCGGCGGCCGCGCTGGCGACGGTAGTCGGGTCGCGACGGCGGGCGGGTTGCGGTCCTCCTTGGCCGACCCCATAGGCGGAGCCCATGACCTCCGAGCCCCGAGCCTCGTCGTCGCTGCTGTCTCCACTCAATGAATCGCCCCCGCCACGCACGGGCAATATAACGGCTGGGCGCTCTCCAGGATCAGCATCAGGTGAACGATAACGATGGTGCCTGCGCAACAGGGCGTCGACAAGGTCCCTGTGGAAGTGAATTTGCTCGACTGTGTGCTCCCAGAGCACGCGGTTCGTCCACTCGGCCCTGAGGCAACGCGCCTTGGACAGAGAAATGAGCGCCCGCGCCGCCGTCGAGCCACCCCCCCGAGCCCCTGGACGAGCCCCTCCCGCCCCCGCCCCCGCCCGACCCGATTCTGCAGGCGGCGGTGGAGGAGCTCGATCGGGGAACTCGGATCGGAGGGGGCGCTCCACGGCGACGTCGGCGACCACTACCCCCCCCCCCCTCCATCGTCACCGCTCCGCGGCCCGCGGCCCACGGCCCGCCCAGCCTGACGGTCTACCATCGTTCCCTTCGCCGCCCCCCCCCCCCCCCCGACTGAAGCGCAAACCTTCCACTGCTCGCGCGTAGGCTCCGCCGCGGCGTCGGCGTGCCGATGCCGAAGGCGCGCCCTGTACCCGATGCCGCCTTGCGCGGGCGCCGCGGCCCTGAGCGGCGTTGGCGTCCTCGAGCGCCGCCGCGCCAGCGCTGGCGCGGCCCCGCCCGCCTGCGCCTGGGCGTTCCAGGGCACCATGGCCACCTCTCCGATATCAGACTGCGAGCGGCGCCCGCAAATCGAGGCGCGAGTCGAACCGAGACGGCCGCGGTGGCGGAAATTAAGCATATGGGTGGGGTGCTTAACAGACAGAGCGAGGTACGGGTGGTGAACGTTCTGGCGGGGCGAAGCCCTAAATGGAAGGGCCCAGGGGAGGGGCGAGGCGGCGGTGGATGGATGCAATGGCCAGCCCCCCCCCTCCCCGAGGCGGGCCAAGAGGCGCCCGAGACGAGTGAAGAAACGCCCAAGACGGCCCAATATACCCCCAAGAGGGGGGTTCCAAGAGGGCTCCAAGACGGCACAAGAACGCTCCAACAGACCCACAGATCGTCCAAGAGCGTTCCAAGATGGCCCCGTATGGCCGAACGACAGTCCAAGGGGGCCCCGAGACTGCCCGAGGGGCTTCCAAGGGGTTCCCGACGAGGGCACCAAGAGGCAAAACCATTGATTGCTCAATTGTGTTTGAAGGTTTTTGCGGTCCGCGCCTTTTCGGGCCAAGAACTGCCCCAAACGGCCCAAGAGGCTCCAACGATCGCCTCAATACTGCCCAAAAGCCCCCCCCCAGGCGGGGGCGCACTCCAGCCCCCGACGCGAACCCACATGGGCATGGAACTCGGGCGCAACTTGCCCGATCTAACGCGCTACCAGGAGCGGTCCAAGGATGCGCGCTCTCCTCCGAGGCGGTCCTCAAGGTGGGGCGGGACAGTCAAAGGCGCCCTCCTCATCCCAATACAACTCGCAATACGCTCCAAGAGGGCCCAACAAGAGGTCGCGAGGTGCCGAAGATGGATGTGCCGAGAAGTCTGTCTATACAGACCCCCAGTTGAACGCATCCTGGCTCGTCTGAGAACCCTCTCGGCACCCTCTCGGGTCTCTCACGGCGCCATATCGCGACCCTGACGGGGCCCCGAAGAATGCCAACGGGGGGGGAGGTCGTTGAGGGGGGCGCCGCTTCTCCTTGACAGCTGTGGATTTGTCATTGCGTTCCCTTCGGTTCTCCCTGGCGCCCCCATCGGGGCCCCGTCGGGGCCCTCGGGCGGGCAATATACCCCCGCAGGGCCACGAGAATGCTACGAGCGGGAACAAGTGCACCCCCAAGCTAGCCCCTCAGCCAACGCAAGCCCCCGCAACACATGCCCACCCGCCGCCCCCCAAGGCTAACCTCAGATGGCGTCCGCTGCGCATTCCCAAGGTGGGCGCGCAGCTGGGCATGCGCCCACGCCCCCCCCCCCCCCCCCCTCTGACGCATCGTATCGCACTCAACGCCGCATCGGGGCACCCCCAGCGCTCCTGCGCGGGGTGGGAGGGGGGGGGGGTGCGCGAGGGCACCCTTTCAAGATTTGAAAAGGGTGTGCGAGCGACAAGACTGATGACACCCGTCCTCATAGCGCCGCGTGTTCGGGCGCTGGTCAAAGCAACTCGCCTGGGAATCGTTGCCCGTGGGCTGGCGGCGGTGCGAAAAGCGCCGGCACGGCGGCCTGCCAGGAACTGCGAGGGGGCGGAGGGGTGGGGGGCTGGGCGAGGCCCTTCGGGAAGACGGGGGGCGGGGGACATCATGGGGGCGATGCGCGAGGTGCCGCGACGCGGGGGGATCGCAACGCATGACAGCGAGCGGTGGTGCAGGGGCGTGGGCGACAAGGAGGGATACGGCCCGCGCGCGGGCGAAAACGCGCGATCCTTGAAGCGGTCATACTCGCTCAGGAACTCAGACCGCGACACCTTGATCGACTTGGCGGACCTGATATCGTCGGGAACCTCGTCTGCCGTAGACTTGTCGAACATGTCCGTCACCCATTCGACTCCGAGCAGGTCCTCGAGCCCATCGACATCGTCAAAGTTCGCCATGCGGGCCGCCAAGACCTTGTCGCTCTGCTCGGGGCCGCAACCAGGCCAGATGTTCTCGGCCATCGACTGGAGGAGGCCAGCCATCGTCGTGGACGAGTACTGTCACTCCATGGCGTCGCACACGTCCTTCAGGTAGCTCGCGCCCAAGGGGAAGAACCCCTGTTCGGCCACGCACTTCATCAAAGGCTGGGGGGGGGGGGGATCATTGACACTCTCACCATCTTGTTCCCGTACTCGCGGCTAGCCTCGGGCGGCAACATTCCGCCCTCTCCGCCCCCGCTTCATCTCATCCGTGCGCTCCTCGCCCTTCGCCCTCCTTCATAGGCCACCGATCCCCCTGCCCCCCATTCCAACCTGCCTTGCCCCCCGACCCCACCCCCCTCTCTTCGCCCCAGAACCGAGTTCCCACCTCACCCTGATCCTCCGCTCTCCACCACCACCACCACCACCACCACCACCACCCCGCCCCTCCCCCCGCACGCACCTCCAACCGATCGCGCCGCCCTCCTGCGTCTCCCTCATCCACCCCCCCATACTCCGCCCCCCCCCCCGCCACACCTTAAGAAACGTCTCCCAAGCCTTCACGTTGACCTCGGTGGCCCCCGTCGTCGCGCCCGCGAGCTGGTGGAGCTCGCGCTCCACCGCCTGGCGAAGCGGCGAGTCGAGGCGAATAGGTGCTGCGCTCCACTCGGACGGGTCAACGATCACGAGTAGCTGCATCTCCGACTTCGCGTCGATGATGAAAATGTCGCCACGGGCGCCGTCGGGCACCAGCGGCCATGTCACGGCCAAGCCCCCTTCCAACGTCCCCATGCCAAGATGCCAGGCCCTGTCCCTCTCGGAGGTGTGCTGGATGGCCACGCCCTGGTGCACCAAGCGGCAGAAGAACTTCTTGTCGACGTACCCCATCTTGCGCTGTTGCTTGCACTGTCGCAAGACCTCGATTTCCGCGCGGGGCGCAAACATGCCCCGTGACCCTGGGCTGCACCATGATGGTTCTCCAAACCCCGCCACCTCCCACAGCTTGAGCGCCTTCGTCTGGTCGTCGAGGTGTCTCTGCTGCAACCTCGGCTTGAACGTGGATGGCGCGAACGCGCTGTTCCTCGCAACCGACTCCGTGCCAACCCCGATGGGCTTGAAGTTGTGGACCGATTCGATCACCTTCGCGTCGATGCAAGTGGCCATCGTGGCGGGAGCGCTGGACATGGTGTTCTTCTGGCAGTCCACTCTGCCCTTGGCCTTGTTGAAGCAATCCTCGACGATTTGGCTCCCGATGATGCGCGCGCACTTGGCCTTGATATGCTCCAGGAGCCTGTGCGGCGCGGGCGGTGCGAGCGCAGCCGCGGCCCCCGACCCTCGCCCGTCCGAGCCCGAAATCGCGCCACCCACCCGCGCGACCTGGCCCAAACCCCACTGCCCACCGCCCCAAGCTACCTGCCACATCCGCGCCCTGAGGCGGAGGGCGGAGGGGGGGGGGGGGGCGAATGGGCGACGGCGGCGACGAGGGCGACGGACGAGCAAAGCGGAACGAGCCTCTGCGTCGGCGTCCAATCCTCGGCGTCTAACGGCCTTCAAGTGCTTTACGCTCATCTTCATGAAGAGGCTCCTGGACCTCATCTGCTCGGCACCTGGGAAGGCCGCATCCTTCAGCTCGTCGAACAGAGCGAGGTCGCCCTTGAACTCCCGCAAGAACTTGGGGCGGAGCTTCGGGCATAGCAACATCACCTGGCGCCTTGGGTACCCATGAGTAAAGGGCATGCCGCGCCTCGCGTGCTCGACGCACAACGCCGACACCAACGACAACATCCTGTTCGCCGCGACATCCGAGCGCACGACCCGCGGATGGTCGAGGAAGAGCTGCTGGGTCGGCCACGTGGTCTCGATGCCCATCTCGGCGTAGAGCTGCCTGGTGTTCAATACCTGAACGCTCAGCCTCATGGGCATGTGAATCCCCCCGCGCAGCATGTTGAGCTCCCAAGGGATGGTGGCATCCTGCGAACGCAGGCCAGCGTTCTGCCTCGGAGCGGGGACAGCAGGGGGGTAGCAAGGATGGGGCTGGTGAGCAGCACTGCGCCAGGCCCGCTGCAAGAACGAAGCCGCGACAGGCCAGACACGATGACGATGGCCCGAGGGGGCCACGCTGGGAGCACCATGATGACAATGCGACGCAGTCAGAGCCACGACGACGAAGCCACGAAGACGACGACACCACCGATGCCCAGAACCTCCCCCCCCCATCGGGGGCGGGGCGCCAACGTCGACCCCAGAACAGAGGGTCTCCCCCCCCACGCGTCGTCGTCACCTCCCCACCCCCCCTCAAAAAAAAAAAACTCCCCGCATCCTCCGCCACGCCCTCCCCATCGTAATTGGTCGCGTCTATGTGGGCCACGGATGCGCGCCAATGGAGGCACGCGGCCAATGGTTTCCCCAACAAAAAAACATATGGGGGCCCCGCTGGCCTCACCTGAAAATAAACGATGACCCACACATTCGGCACGCATGGCGGGGGCACCGCCGTGGCGTTGCGCGCGAGGCGGGGCACGCGGGGCCAGCGAGCGGGCCAAATCCCTCAATCGGGCACCAACGGGGCCGACTTGCAAGCCCAAGCGGGCCTCCCGTGAAACTCAGCCGTGCTCCCCAGCACATTCACGAGCATCTTCATGATGTGGTACTTGCTGGCGTCGCCGTAGAGGTAGGCCGCGCGGTCCAGCTGGTTGGCGCACTGCTCCCCGAAGGACATAGCCGACGCCTGCCTGAGCGTCAGCTTGCTGGCGCCCTCGGGCGCGGCGACCTCGGGCGCGGGAGGCGGCGGCGGAGGCTTCTTGCGATCCGCGCCCTTGAAGCCCAAGCTGAGCGCCGCAACGTTGGTCAGGTACGCTTTCAACCCGAAGAGCTCGATGCTTTTCCCCGCTGCTTGCACGGGCTGCTGGAACTTCCCCATGTGGATGCGCTCGCCCTTGCTCGTCAACAACTTGCGGGTGTGGAGCCCGCGCCAGAAGCGCTCCACGGCGTCGTCGGTGGAGAGGTCGACCTGGGGGGGGGGGGGAGGAGGGGGAGTGGTGGGGTGATTGGGGGGGAGGCAGCGGGCGTGCCAGATGCCGTCGGGAAAGGGGCGCAAATGCGGCGATCCCGCGGGGCGCTTCGGAGGATCCTGCTTCGGGTGGCTGGTGGCGCCATGCGACCCCACCCCCAGAATGAAACGGGGCCGCCGTGGGTGACGACCATCCCTCCGCCAGGGGCCCTTGCGCGGCCGCCGAGAGGGGCCCTCGGCACTCCAACGGGCGAGCAGGATGACCATCGACGGCCCCAGGGCGGCCCCAGGAACGGCAGCCTGACTCTCAGAACACCGAGCTTCCCCCCCCCCCCCCACCCACCACCACCCCACCCCTGACACGTCAAGCTTGCGCTGGCCAAAACTGGCGCCACGAACTGGAGCGGCAATCCTCGCTAGGCCGCAGGAACCCGCACGGGGCCGCCCGTGACCGAGAATGGGGGACTCGCAAGTGCTCAGGAGTGCCAAATGCAGCCCCAAGGGGACTCGAATACAGAAGAACACGAACATACATGTATACGCCCAAGCGGCACTTATCAAACAACCCGCCCGCCTGGGCAACGCGCGCGCAAGGCAGCGCCGCGCGCGCGGGGCGGGGGGGGGGGGGGGGGGGGGGGAGCGAAGAGGCAACCACCAACAAGCGTCATCGCTCCTCATCGGAGCCCCCGCGGGGAGGGGGGGGGGGGGGGGGGGGCGAACCCATCCTCAAACCCGCCAGGCGCGCCCATCTCCGGCAGCGCGCGTTCGATGGAGCCCCCCTTCCCCCCCCCCCCCCCCCCCCCGAGGCCCTGAAGGGATGGCCGCAGAAGGGCCCCGCCAAGCCACGCGGAGGGCGCGGGCATGCGAATGTGGCGGGGGCCCGACATGGACCCTCTGACGGGGATCGAGGCGCCTGCATCGGCGCGCGCGGTTTGTCTGGGAGGTGTGTGTGTGTGTGTGTGCGTGTGTGCGTGTGTGCGTGTGTGTGTGTGTGCGTGCGTGTGTGTGTGTGTG